GAGAGAGAGGGAGGGAGGGGAGGGGGGAGAAACATGAATGATGAGTCGCGGATGGGCCCCCTGCACGCCCCTGCTGGGGACGGAGCCCGCACCCAGGCACGCGCCGCCGGGAACGGAGCTGCGGCCTCCTGCACGCCAGGCCCACGCTCCGCTGAGCCAGGCCGCCCACCGGCCGCGTCTTTGTAAGGACCGCCGTCAGTGTTTCACCGCGCGGCGCTTTCAGTTAACCTAGTGTCTCGTTTTTTTACTGTTACATGCACTGCTGTCGTTAACATCCCTGCACATGAATTGTTGGGTATTTTGTGTAAGGGTCTCTACAAAGTGCCTGGGGGAATGAAATATCCCTGTTTCATACCTTTACGTTCCCACCAATCCTTTTAGTTAGGAAGCAGTAAAGCAGCACTGACCCGAGTGTGGGAGCCAGGGGTCTGGGTCTGAGCGCGGATCCGGCCGCCACTTTTTGTTGGGTGGTGACGGGCATCTTATCTACGTTAGACAAGGCGGGCAAAGCACGTGGCACAGAGCCAGGCACACAGATATTAACTTGCTAAGTTATTTAAATGCAACCTTCTAACACCCACAGAAATACATGGCGTTTTAGATGCCCACTGTGTGGAGAGCTTTTAGACTGATAGCACTCTCTCAGGTTGGTTACTTCACATTAGCAATGTCCCAAGTGTGAGTTCAAACCCCAATTCGAGGACTTCCAGGTCTTCTAACAAGTTCCATTTAGGAGCCCTGGCCTGCGCGGCTCCGTTGGCTGGAGTGTTCCGTACAACAGAAGTCAGGCTTGCGGGTTCATCCCCAGTCAGGGCTGGGGCACATGCGGGAGGGGGCTGATCAACGTTTCTCTTTCTCCCTTCCTCTAAAATCAATTTTTAAAAGAAGTTGTTTATGAAAAGGGTCATTAAGAATAAGCCGAGCCCTTCAGTCGTCTTTGTTACTGTGCCTCTGAGACCCGTCCACGTGGCACTGGACTGACAGGTGCCTGCAGATGGTGCCTTTGTCTCCCTCTCGCGCAGACCTTCGCGTTAGAAGTGAGCGCCAAGGAGGTCCCGCGGCTGCAAAGGCCCTTCCTTTGGGAAAGGCACCCCACCGCTCCCGCAGGGACTTCCCCCGGCCTAGCCATTTAGTTAGGCACAGGGACGCGTGATGCTTTAAAGTTGTACGAAAGCGGTTCCCTCGCTCCTCAGAGTTAAATCAACGGTGCCCGCGGCACGGGAGAAAGACCCCGCTGGCAGCACCGCGGCACCACTGCCTGCCAGTCTCCAGGTCTTCTCGGTGTGAGAGCTGAAGGCAGACTCTGACTGCTCCCCCCTCCCCGTGTTTAGTTGTCGACTGTGGCCCCCCCGAGGACCTGCCCGGCGGCCAGGTGGAGTACGTCACGGGCCCGGGAGTGACGACATACAGGGCTGCGATTCAGTACCGCTGCAACGAGACCTTCTACGCCATGACGACAGGCGGTGGTGAGCACACTGCTCCGTGTCTGGGGTGGGTGACAGGTGGAACCGAAGCCCTCACCATCTGAAAAGAGACTTTAACCAACATTTTTGGCTAAGGCTAGACAAAGAATAAAAGGCACTTCTCCCACCAGCTAAGTGAAATATTACAGCTGAAGTGACTTTAATGTCAATTTGCAAGAATCTGAAAACAGATCTTATCTAGTGAATGACTACTACAAACACACAATGTATTCCAAATGGTTTAATTTAACAAGTCAAAACCTCATCATTAAGCACTTGAGATCTTGATACATATTCAAGTTACACATCTGACAGGTTTCCACTTTGCAAGCAAACATGGCAATGCAGACACCTCCTATTCATGAAATCATGTGACGGGTTATCCAGACACCTCTATTTCCACTCATGCTCAAGAATCAACATTTTTCATGGGGTATTCAAGCAAATGACAACCACCTTATACATGCAGTTAAACAGTTTTGCTTTTCCGATGATTTGCAGGTAAATATGTGTGTGAGGCTGATGGATTCTGGACGAACTCCAAAGGAGAAAACCCGCCCCCGGTCTGCGAGCCTGGTAATGGATGCACTTTCATAGGATTCGTAACTGATGGAAAGGAGACTGGGCACGAGACAGTGAGCAGAGCTTTAGCTGCCGTAGGCAGAAATGTAACTTCAGCGCTTGGCTCTTAGACCAAGTTATTATTTCCAAATAATGTTCTCATTACCCCCTTTCCATACGGAGAGGCTGTTAGGTGCTGACTGCATCAGTCATTGGATTATTTTGGCCTTACAACTAGGAAAGCATAAAAAATTAAATAATTTAAAAAATTATCTTGAACCACTTACACATTTATAAGCATAAGTTCCTCTGTTGTTACTTTTCTTCCCTGTTAAAAATGCTATTAAAACCCAAAGCTAATAACTTCATTATTTCCCTAAGCAATTGTTTTCAATGACATCTAGTTTTTAAACATTAATGCAATTTGCCTTTTAATAGTACTTAAAATTTTTTTTACCAGAATTGGCTCTGAAGATATAGTTGAGTAGAAAGATTAAAAAAAATCAGAAAGGTAATATTATATTCATTACCCATGTGTTAACTTGGCTTATATTAGTTATTTTATCTTAGCTGACCCAACGTTTATGTTTCAATGCAAGTATTCTGCCACAACAGGAAACATTTGCTACGTTAATAAGTGTATTTCCTTAGTAATATATGGTTAAACTTAGTGTTTGGAAGAATCAACTAGATAAAAAAATAATTTCTGAACCCTAAGCTTCCTGGCTACAATTGCAACATTCTAATTTTTAAAACATTTAAATGTTCAAAGGTCCAAGTAATTTGGCCAGTCCTGGGACAGTGGCCTTGGCGCCTCTTTACCAGAACTACATGGCAATCGCCCCATTCTGTAACTAGGAAAAAGCAGCAGCAGCAAGGTTATCTCCTTTCACTTCCTAGTCACGAGCTCAGACAATTCCTGGTTTGCCCTGTTAAATAATTCCCCCAGCTGTGTAGACCACTTTTTTGTTTGTTTAGCGAAACTAGTTCGTTTCTGAATTTTCACTCATTTCCTGAGGGGCTAAGAACTACCAAACCGGGCCTCTGAGCTGCGCTTTCAGGAGCCTCACCTGCCTGTCCAGGCGGGCGCCCACCAATTCACGTGATGCAATATTCACGCGTCCAGAGCGGGGCCTGGGGACAGCACCGCGGGGTTTCTGTAAAGGCTCTCCGTGTCTGCTTCTTTCCCCAGTTTGTGGACTATCAGCCCGCACAACAGGAGGTCGTATATATGGAGGGCGAAATGCAAAGCTCGGGGATTTTCCCTGGCAAGTCCTGCTAGTAGGTGACACAGCAGCAGCAGCAGGGGCACTTTTGTATGATGACTGGATCCTAACAGCCGCTCATGCTGTGTATGAGCAGAAAGAAGATGCCTCCCACCTAAGCATTCGAATGGGTGCCCTGAAGAGACTGTCACCTCCTTACACACAAGCCTGGGCAGAGGCCATTTTCATACACGAAGGTTACACTCACGGTGCTGGTTTCGATAACGACATAGCACTGATCAAACTGAGGAACAAAGTTGTAATCAATAGCAACATCATGCCTATCTGCTTGCCGAGAAAAGAAGCTGAGTCCTTCATGAGGACCAACGACATCGGAGCCGTGTCTGGATGGGGAATAACCCACAGGGGTGCTCCTGCCAGAAGCCTCATGTATGTTGAGGTACCAATTGCTGACCATCAACAATGTGCCGCTGCCTACGAAAAGAAGTCCCACCCAGGGGGAAGGGTAACCGGCAACATGCTCTGTGCCGGCTTAGAAAGTGGGGGCAGGGACAGCTGCAGAGGTGACAGTGGGGGGGCACTGGTGTTTCTAGATAACGAGACCAACAGGTGGTTTGTGGGAGGGATAGTGTCCTGGGGCTCCATTAACTGCGGGGAAGCACAACTGTATGGGGTCTACACAAAAGGCATTAACTATATTCCCTGGATCAAGAAAATAATTAATAACTTTTAATTTGTATGTCTTCAATCAGTAATTCCTTAAAAAACAAAAAACACCTGTAAAAGATCTCAGCAGCAGTGTGACCTGAGAAACACTAGCACAGCCGTCATCACCGGACCCAAAAATCAAAACCAAACGAGCAGCGAAAGGCTTGCCAGCTTTCCGCCCTTTACGCTTTGACTCAAGGAGGCACGGCCGTCCTCGCGATGTTCACCTGTGTCAGCGCAACAGAAACTCGCTGGTTAAATCTGCATAACACTACTTGCAAAGTTCAGTATCTTTTTGCACTGGCTTTTAAAATTGCATTTCTGGAAACTGCCTGGACATGTTCTTTGACTCTTTCTACTGTTTCTGGACTTGTTCTTATTGATCTCCGGGAGAGCTTTATACATTGCAGCAGTATTGGTTCAGGAATAACCTTGAACCATGGATTTTTTTGGTAGATAAACTGTAAACATCAATACTTTAGCGTAGGAACTAATTTTCATGTTAAAAACCAATACCACAAAACAGCGATATATAATTTCTCACTTATCAAATTGGCAGACAAGAACATGGAATAGCACTATTCACACTGTCAAAGACAACACGTTTTCTAAAGGACAATTGTGTAATATATTTCAAAAGCTTTAAAAGCATGTGTAGTCTTTTACCTAGTAATCCCCATGCTAAGAATTTAACTTAGCCTTGATCCCAGCACTTGGAAATAACCTAAATAAGGTCGAAATCCAGAAGACGACTGAATCAAATGTGGCATTTCCATAAGACGAAACACAGCGTCAGAAGTAAATGGTATCACAGATAAACCTGTAGTGCTTTTCCTCCTTACAATGAACATGGAAAGCAGGGAACACTCAGCCAAGCAACAGATTATGGATCACACAATGCCTGACTATAGAGCTCAAATCCACAATTAAGCGCTACTGTCCTCATACTCAACAACAACAAATTATTCTAATCATCACATATCTTCTGAATTAAGTAGCTAACCTTTTTCCAAAGGACAAAATCTAAGCTCTGACTTAACCTTAAAAATCTCATTTTAGTTGGCGAGTCCTTCCTAAAAAGTTTTAATAGCTAACATCTAACAAAGTTTTTCATTCTAGCCAGAGTTACCATTATATTTAAAAATTCATTGTGAGTTTTGGCCTAATTTCTCTTGTGCATATAAAGTGCAACTTCTTGAGACTCACTTTTTAAAGGTAACTTTACAGCATCTTTGTCAAATATAAAAAGGAAACTGTGTTTTTCCAGTAAGACTCCAGACACTAAACTGTTGGCAACAAAAATTTTTATTCAACTGGTTCAAAAAATTTTTAGAATGAATGCATTTCGATGACCAGATAGACTTTAAAGACAAATCTTTGCCAAATAGTTTACGTCTAATCTTCAAAAAAAATTTTAGGGTAGAATTCAATACCCACAGCTATGCATTACCACAAACATGTTAACAGAAGGCTACTCAACACTGAAAGCCTTCTAAGATCAGTAACTAGATTTACACAAGTGTAAATAAGGGATTAAAACCATGCCATTGACAAGTTAACTTACCCCCGGGCTCCTTGAAGGCTTGTCAGTTTAGTCTTTGGAGGTCCCCGAATACCATTTTAAGTGTTACCATGTTACTGCTGCTGAGTAATAGTGCAAGTGCTAAAATGCAAAATTCAGATGGTACAGGATTTGGAAATCATGCAATTTAGATGCAGAAAAAATTTTTAAACAACGCAAGACCCTTTTACAGAGGAAACTGAACAATGAAACAATGTGGCGATCACAAGTCTAAAGGGTGACTTCACTTATAAAAGTTTAAAACACGCAACTTGCAAAAACCCTATTTATTGTAATCTAATTAGATAAGGGCATTAGGTAAACTAGCAACACAAACTGTTACATTCTTCCATTAGAAAACAAGCTCAACTCTCACAGCAGTAGTTACATAAAAAGTACAATAGAGAATCAATATATTATTGCTTTTACATACTTAACAATGCACCGTGAGAGTCCCAGCTGAGTGTTGTAAACGATTTTACTCCGCGTGACTATCTGCCCACCTCTGGAGGACAGCCCGCCCGCCGCACCCTGCTAGTCCTTAAAGCTACCAAGCTGCTTAGTGGACTTCAGGCACAAGATAATTTGTGGTTTCTTCTACTTTATCCCCATTGCAATTAATTCCACTTTTCAAATTACAAACTAAAAAGGCGCTAATATTCCCTTCTTTTCAATTGATATGCTTTGCTACAAAGCATTTAAAAATAATTAACACTGTTTTGCCCACTCCCCCAAATAAGATTATTTTTAGAAGGCATGATTTACTTCCCAATGGAGATTTATACAGGCCATGTAAATAGAACATCACCCAAATGCACAGAGGCACTAAGGAAAAGCTGGAGGGTACTGCTTACCATTTTAGGTGCGGTCACCCAGACTTATTAAAAACTAGATTTAAAAAGAAAAAAAAATCTTTTCACTTTGGACAATGCAAGAACAAATAGCAATTAAGTCTGGGTATCAGGTGTCAATGCATGACAGGTGATGAATCCATTTGACTTGAGACAACTTTTCAAATAAGTTTATTTGAAGCAAAATAAACTATTGCCAAGAAACTTTATGAAAGTTCCATCTCAAAAGGGTCAAAAAAGGGGAATTAACTGCTATGAATTCTTTGCATTCAGGGCTGCAAAACAAAGACACATATTATTTAAATCAGTTTTATTTAAGAATTTCCAACATTGACAACTCTTATAAAAAGCATCCAAGCACAGGACACAGAACTGCAGCAAACAGCATTCTTATGTGTAGCTAACAGACATGAGAACTTCCACCCTTCTTTGAGACACCCCCAGCTCACTGGTGAACTCTGCTTCCAAGTACTCCTGCAAAGCACACCACAAGCTCAGTCCATGTTCTCAACCCATCAGCTTCAGTTCACGTTACCACACTTACAGATCAGTAACAGAAGAGAACACACACCATACAGCATTCACAGCAGTTGACAAAGGGGTAGGGGAGGTACAAGTATCGTTTCACTTAACACATTCAACTAACGTGGGTTATCTAAGAACAAAACTCACTTAAAGTCTTCCAACAGATGTGGATGTCCTTTGAATGCAAGAAACATTCGTACGTTATTTGCTATCATTGCTCTCTGCACACTCTCTCACCAAAGCCACAGGATGGAGAGACACATCTCGCCAAGTTAAAAAATATCCATTTTGCACCACCGTCTCTGCACGCGCTCTCTCCTTTTCTCGCTCATACTAGCCTTTCATGCCTCGGCACCACCATCAATCCCACACAAGGTTTCAAAAGTTCAAACAGCCTTCTGGTTCCATATCACAGCCTTGCGTTCATAGCGTTGATACGACTCCATGAAATAAAGAGTAGCGGATAAAAATGGGACACCCACCGTCAAAGACGCAGCCTGGGCAGTGTGATGATGCAATCCTGAATGAGAAAGCACGTAGGCAGAGTATTCCTATGGCAGAATATTTACAGCACTACTTTCAATGAAGTGCTTCTTCCATACAGATTTGAAATGAGATGAACTGCAGAGATTAAATGAAGGCTTCATATTGTACTTTTGCATATGAAGGGAGACAAGTGTTAAAAAACAAAAACAAAAGAACCAAACACTGTGACACCATGATCTCCAAAAAAGGAGATATTCCTAAGGAAAAAATCCATATGGTGGGGTTCAAATTAAAACAAGGAGGAAAGTATGTAGTTCTAATTAATGGTTTCCATTTTGAACATGCAAAGAATTCACTTGACAAGTCCAGGGATAAAATATTACAGGAGAAACCCTTTGATATCAATTGTAGTGTGTTGGTTTACCAATCAGGCAAACAGCGGTTCACTTTCAAACACTCAATATTTCAACCCTTTATGTAACAAAACCTATAAAATTCCTTTAGCTCTTCTTCTTTTTCTAAAGAAAAATGTCAAAAATACTGCTGAATATACTCCACACCGAACAAACCAATTTTGAAAATTCTTAGTACATATGTATTTTACAATATACTTACCATGAGTTTAGAAAAATTTGAATTCCCACCAGTCCATACAACCAACCGTCACCCACTGTCTACATTCCCCAGCTAGAAGGTTTAGAATCCATGCTGGAGCCAAAGCCTCCATTAAAGCCACTGCCTGACCCTGCATTTGAAGCTGATCCCCAACCAATTGCTGCCCCTGAATTAGAGCCACTATAAGAGTTATTTCCAGAACCAAAGGCCTGATTTGGCTCCCTCTGCATGTTGCCTTGGCTTTGGTTATTGCCCGATGGGCCTGACTGGTTCTGCTGACTGGCTAACATGCCCATCATGCCCCAGCTGCTCTGCAGTGCTGCCTGGGCGGCAGCCATCATCGCTGGATTGATGCTAAAAGCACCAAAATTCATCCCTCCACCCATGTTACTACCTTGATTGTTTCCCAAGCCAGCCCCACCCCCTCTACTATTACCAAATCCACCCTGATTCCCAAAGCCACCTGGATTACCACCAAATCTTCCACTTCTTTCTAACTGTCTATTGCTATTGTGCTTAGGTTCAGCATTGGATATATGTACGCTGATTCCTTTAATGATCAAGTCCTCTCCACAAAGAGACTGGGCAACCTATAAGAAAATAAGGGGTGTAAATAAAGGCCATTAAACCACTGACTTGTACTTCAAAGTAGCAATAAAATGTAGATTTCAAGCCATTATCTAAACTGGAGGAAAAATAAACAATGAACGCTCATTTCATCTAAACTCAAAATAGCCTTTAGCTTTAGTGATGGCAGCAAATTTTTTCAGTTTACTTTTTAAAGATATATAACACTCCCCGTTAAATACCACATTCTGAGAAACATTAAAGCATTTGTCACAAATATCTGGGTCCATTACCCACACAGCTGACAAGGTCAGAAAGGTTAGCTAAGGATGTAATTAGCTGGATGGCAAATGTTCAAGAGAAATTGCCTAATTATCTGGGATAAAATTATTAAAGAGAAAAATACCTGATCATCTGCAAATGTAACGAAGGCAAAGGCCCTGAACGGCTTGGGAATGAAGACATCCACCACCTCCCCGTACTGGCAAAAGAACTGCCGCAACTCATCAGCCGTCATATCCTCTGTGCAACGCCCAACAAACACCTTTCTGCTTCTCAGGGGTTCGTCTGGGCTTTGCTGATCAAATTCAGAGACAGGAAAAACGTCAGAAATATTTTATGAGCAATGAAAGGCATCGTGGTGAAGGATGTATCAGGGCCCATCTGCCTTTCACATGAGGTGAGCCATCAGAAAGCAGGTACATGCTGACTTTCTTGCATTCGCACTCCTCTTTCGTGTAGGACTTCGATGATGAGTACAGTTCTACAGTTTTAAGTTCATGAGAATATACTTGGGTCTAGGAAAGTCAAAGACTAAACAATGTCCTGGCAAAAATAATAATGTTCCAAATAAGCAAGTCCTGCTTGCTTGGAACAAGTCAGGCATTTGTAACAAGATTACTGTACTCTGGTTATCTTCATGTTTTAACATGTAAGAAATTGTTACCAAAGTTTAGTTTAGAGGGGTAATAAATTAAATATTTCAAATGGTCATAAAAGATTCAGCATGCATTACGGTCCCAAGGCTTTAAATAGGAAAGAGATTTCAAGATCATATCCTGACACTACCTTTTTCCAAGTGTATTTAACATTTTATTTTATAGTGTCTTCTAAGGAAGTTTGTCAGCAAAAGTTCCCAGAGCGGAAGAAGAAATAAAAAAGCAAAGCACCTTAGAATTAGGAAGCTTACAGTCACACCACCGTCCATCTATCATATGTCGCTGGGACATCACTTTCACCTGGGTTTCATATTCCGTAAATCGAACAAAGCCAAACCCTTTTGAATGACCGGTTTTAATGTCTTTCTTGACCTAGAAAAAAATCATTTAAATTTACTAAAACAACACAGACACCTAACCAAATAAGAATTCCCTGACCATGTGAATGGCTTCAGCTGGATACAGTGGCTTAATTAAAACTAAAACCAAATTATTCTTGAGGTAAAAGCAACAGGAGGGTTAATGTTGAATTTAGATCCGGTTAATAGCAGAGTAAAACTCCTTTACATAATAGAATTTCGAATGTTTTAGAATGCAAAGATAAACTAGATCTAATGTTTACAAATCTTAAATTAATTAAAAATATTGTCTGCAGGACATGAAGGGCAGTGTGACTAAAACAGGAATTCTGGGTGCTCATGCACTGAAAAAGAAAAACTGTTAAATGAAATAAATCAACGTTTACCTGAACCATAAGAACTTCTCCAAAGGTACTAAAATATTCTTTTAGATCCTGTTCAGTTGTTTTCCACGGGAGACCCAACACTATTAAATCAGATGTTTTCTGGACGGCTCTTTTCACTTTCACTGCTGATGAAGCATCTGTCTCATCCATTTTCCTTTTGTTATCTAAACAAAATGAGCAGAAACCCTTTAGAACTCTTCATTTAACATGTCTTAAAACTCACTGCCTCCTACATCTAGAAGTGAGAAGCAAAAAGATTCTAAGAACATAAAGATGCTCCAACTTTTGGCAAAGAATGATGTTAGCCCTCAAGGAAAGAGTAAGGGGTTGAATAAGGGGCCGAGGTGCTTTTCTGGTGCAAATCCAGGGATTCATAACTCCGGTTTTCCAGTATCACAAGATTACAAATGTATATTGTCCCCTCTCAAAAGGCCTATCAAAACAAAAATAATTCTACTTCACGGACTTTAAAATACATTAAGGAGGGAAAAAACAGGTTTAAAAGGTGTAATTACCATCTTCTTGCCTATTAAATGTATTTACTTAACTATTTTAATGCCTATAACTTAAAGGCTATATGCCAAAAAAAAAAAAAAATCAGCAACTTTTATTTCTAGCTGTGGATTTAAGGGTGATTTCAATTTTCTTTTCTAAACTTTCATTAACACACATTAATTTTTGTAATATGAAAAAACCTTAGGTTACTTTTAAAAACCAATGTCTGAAAGGGAAAAGGAGAGGAACTAAATGACATTTTAAAAAACAGAACTTTTTGAGCAGTTTTAGGTTCACAGCAAAATTGAGGAAGGCAGAGATTTCCTATATACCGCCCCTCTGCGCATGCATAGCTCCCCCCATGGTCAACATCCCTCTCCATGGTGATACATTTGTTACAGACGATGAAACTACACTGATACATTATCATCTGAGGGACAGAATAACATTTGTTCAGATATTTAAATGCAGTTTTCACTTCTAAAACTGTTCTGTAATTTCCAGTTTTCACTCATTACTCACTTCAACTAGTGGTCTTACAAACTAACAGTAACACTGAAAGAAACACTTGGGTGATCGGAGACATGGCACCACCGAAGAGAGGCCACCACCCGGGACTTACAGTGAGACACAAACTCGACTGTCCTTTACCGTTACTGCAAAACCGAGCGGCCACGAACCTTTGGGATAGTTGACAACATACACCAGGTTTCCCCAGCCGGCATCCGGGGCGTGCAGAATGCCTTCTACCAGCCGCACGCCCCTCATGCACTGAGACACGGGGTTCCTGTAGCGCAGCCCACAGGCCCCGGGAAACTGGGCTGTCACCGTGGACAGCAGCACCGTCCCGTCGTCCTCCGATGGTATCTCAATGGGCTCGTCATTTTCGTCTTCCGTTACCCGAATATACTCAGACATCTTCTGTTTTTCTTAAAGGGAAAAGAGATGCGAATGACCCAAGGCTGTGTCAAAGGGATGGCTCCCCTATATTCGGCTGACTCACAGCGGCCCTGCCATTGTTCTGCGACCTCGGGGCGGGGGGGATCTTGCAGTCTGGATCCTCACACGGGGTGGCTACCCCTGAAGTGTCAGGAGGCAACGAGAGTGACTCCTATTCAAATGTGATGCCCTGTTGGTTCATTCATTCATTCATTCATTCATTCATTCATTCATTCATTCATTCAATGAGCATTCACAGGGCGCCTGCTAGGCATCTGGTTGCTACAAACCGCAACTGTGAAACCAGCAGTTTCGGGTGGCGCGCGGGTTACACGGGGAGGGGCGGGGGGCATGAGGGTGAGCCCGAGGAGGACAGCGTTCGGGTAGTTATCTTGTTACAATCGTGAGACGTGGACTAGAAAGTAGCCGATGATCTTGGG